TGAAATCTTTATGACACACATTTCATTCATAATCACTTGACTTATTCAGCTATTATTAGGGCTCAATTAATATATACAGGAAGATGAAAAAAACTGAAATTGTACGAAACTTTAGAACTAAATACACAATGGATATACTTGGCGTTAACATCTATTATTAGGTAGAAATACTAATCGACTTATGACAGATGATCTTGACTAAGTATATAATGTAAATTGTTCATCATAATGTACATCCTTTTATCAAATTTACATTTTTTTGACTAAACATGTAGTAACGTTTCAGTATTGTTCGTGGAAAAATTAAACAATATTTTTCCCTTGTTTGCCAAATAACAAATATAAAGCTGTAAATCAATTTTCCTGCTTCTCGTTAAAACTTAAAACAAAACGGATCTCAAAGCGTTGATATCTCTATACTTATTCAATACATCATCTTTTGTAGTATATTGTTGATTATATTGCATAAGAAACGTATTGAAATTATTGGTATTGACTGAGTAATTGTTGCTTATAAGAAGTGTATAACCAAAGTTGAGCATCCCTATCCTAAAGATTGTTTTCATGTTTATTTACTTAAATATACACAATTTTCTGTTTTAAAATCTATATGATGCAGTTCAATCAGTGATAAAATCATATAATTTTAAGAAAAAGCAGCATTTCCTTTTTCTATACTCCAAATTCATGTCATAAAAGAATACTCTAGTGAAATTCATTTAATACATTTATGATGTCATTAACTATTATTCAACTTTGATATACCTTAGTAACTATTTTCCACTTAGCAACAAATAGCCTTAGATATTTTGAACAATTTAAAATGTACTAAAGAAATAATTTTACACAAACACGAAATTAACAACATACACGTTTGAATAAATGAACAAAAAAACAGTTTTATAAAACATGGAATAGTTTTGTTGCAATGACACTATAACTTATATTAGAGTATAATAAAGTTTATGTTTACTAAACAGTTATAAATTTTAATTATGTTGAAAGTGAAGTGTTTTTTTTTTTATTTTCAACAATATTTTCTTCCATCTTATCTGTTACTGAGTTTGTCATTTAATAAAAGTTTTTTTGTTTTTCTTTTTTGTTTTTAAATTATGAGAAACTCTTGTTGAACTGGCTATCCAACTATAAATCAAATGAGATAGATTTGTCTCTAGGGTATTGATATATGAGTTTTTTGCTGTTTTTATTTTTATCTTTTTTTAAATCTTTTTTTATCACCATGATTTGATTTATCTTTAATATATTTTATGTGAAGTATACGTTTTTTTTGTGATTACTACTAACAGAGTATAAGTAGGTTGAGTCAATCTTGAAAATATTTCTCTCATGATAAATAGATGATGGTAGATATTTTCTCAGCAGTGTGCATCTACGATCCCAACCCCCGCGGGATTCGAACCGAGGACCTATCAGTCTCGCGCGTGAGCGCTTAACCATTAGACTACTGAGCTGGCATCCAACAGTGTTAATGTCTAACTTCAATGACCATCCAGTGCTTCCAGGTATTCCATGATGGTCTAGGTTCAACTGACTCATGATTTTAACAATTGAAATTAGTAACATCTCCACGAAACCCCTTCTGATAATAGATATTTTGTTAAAATATTTAAGTTTTTTTTGAGATCACAATTTATATTTAAATGCATTAGCATTTGATAAAGTTTGTTTAACAGATATTTTGGATTCATCTGTATGAATATTCATTTCCTTGTTACTGTTGTTAATGACTACAAATAATCAGTTTTTATTGGGATATATATGTATCCTGAGTGGGTTGTCTCGAAAGTTCCATTTAGTCTTAAAAATTTACATCAAAGTCTGATAGTGTCTAGGAGTTAAATCCGGATCTTGTTTCCTCTTATTTAATTCGATGGATGTGCCGGAATTCATGTGTTGATGTTAACACTAAATCCTATTGTTATACAACTATATAACTTTGTTAGGAATTAGGATTGAAAACATCAGTGGCAAAGTTCGACTTTCCATTTGAAATAACTCATGCGTAGCTTAGATTTTCCATAATAACGCAATAATATATTTGTAATATCTTAGAGAATCGGAAATTGAATTTCTGACGTTTCACGATTGAATTATGTTATTTCTTCTCTGAAGATGCAGGTTATACTAAGTCGCGAAAAATCAGAAATAATGAAAACCTCAAAAGGATGGAGATCCATCTATGTTTTCCTATTTCATGTAGTGGCAAATATATAGTTGAAGATTCTCGTAACGAGACTGTTGCTTCGTCAAAGTATGATAAATAATTGATTACAAACCCTGTTTTACAATACATTTTCTGGTGAGATATCTGTCATAATTTTTTGAAAATAATCCAGTTTTTTAATGAGAGTAACTAAATAATTATTCACCAGAAAATATGTGCAATATTCCATAATGTCAGTGAGATGTCTAGTACCTCTAACAATACTCAAGACCACTGACTGATGTTAACAGCTATGCATTTTAACTGCTTTATAAGAAATTTAAGTTTGAACACACTACTTAGTAGACAGTAACAAATACAATTACATATTCATAGATAAACTTTAGTCAGAACACCAGTAACTGTATGATTTTCTTCAAAATACACTCAATCTACAATTTCAAGCGACTAAATTAAGGTCTGAATTCAAATCACCTGCTTACCACTGAACAGGAAGACACAAAAGACACAAGCTATTTGTCATCGATTCATGAATAGGATGCAACTCATTGTAATAGCAGAATGAATAAGATAAATCGCACAGAAAATATCAGAATCATCAAGATTGAAGAAATGTCTTGTTAGCCACTAACAATTAGCATAAAACTTTATCCGTAATTTATAGCTACTCGTGGGTGAGAATATTCAAACAAGTAAAAATACGATATTTATATGATTGTTCTCCAGCTTTAATCATCAAAGATTATCCAGTACAGTTATATGAAGTTGTTTTTTGTTTTGGTTAAAATATGTAAAGTCAATAAATAAACTCTAGGTAGCCAATTTTTGATGCAAATTTTCTCTTCGATCGATGTTTTTCTTTAAAAAAAGGAACAATCTTCTGTTTTATTTTATCATAATTGGTTTTTATCACTGATGATAAAGTCTAGACAAATATATCATTTAACATAGCTAATTGATATTAATTTAAGAACCTTTTAGAACCATGGAGGATTGATTTACCCTTTCAGGGTCTTTATTGATACTACTATTGTTTTAAATTAGATCCTCATCAAACTTTACTCTGATATACATTAATATTTATATGCATTTATAAAATTATTAAACTAGTTACGGTAGTTTATCAGTCAGGGATAACAGTGGAATAGATAAACACAAATAAACATAATAAGTAAAAAGTAAAGACTGATAGTGTGACGACAGTGTACTAATTGTAGTAAGAACAATCAAGGCTTAAATCAATGTTCAATGCAGCCAACATATGTCTATCGTTCTCCAGCCCACCTATGGTGATTCCTAAACTAAATGATATATTACTTGGTTTTGCCACATCCATGCGTATCTACAAATTCAGCGGCTACTCTGGAGAACGATATGTTGAGCGTATAACCAGGCCACTGAGCCAACGGGTTAATGACCACCACTCTTCGTGCTTGGTAAAGGGTACTGACACAACATTTTTCAGTTCTGTTCCATCACACTTGGTCAGTGCTTGTCATGTAGTAGATAGAAATAGGTCATATAAAGTGATTTCTCGTATTTCTACTAGTTTCTTCCCTTCACTTCTTATACATACCAGAAGCTATGGGGTTTCGAGCTAACAATCCAAGTCTTTGTATTCGTAAGAAATCTGTAACATTTTTATCTCTTAATTGGCCGAATCAGCCTTAAAAAAAGATTATATTTATTATTATTTTCCATACTCTTTTTTCGTTTATTTTTATTCACTCTCCTTTTTTTCAAGTACACACTTCACTGTTCAATTATCTGAATACTTCTTATTACGCGATCTTATGATTTCTAATGTGCATTATTTCAGTGTCTATATTTTTCCTATTATTAAACAATGATTCAAGCCTTTATTGTTCTTGTCACAATTAGTACATCTGTCATCACATTGTACTCTTATTATGTATATTTATGCTAATTTATTTCCCTGTTATCACTGATTCATAAACTACCTTAATTGGTTTAGTAATTTCATAAATGCATATAAATATTACTGCAGATTAGAGTAAAGCCTGTTGATGATCTAATTGAAAACAATGCCATTCGATCCTATATGTTGTTTTAATTCACAATATGGGACTTTTTAAAAATTTACAACCATAAATGAGATTAACCCTTAAATCGAGGTATTTTCACCAAAACATTACATTGAGCGTATATATATATATCGGCTTGTCGTTTGACACAAGTTAATTAAACGTTAAGATTCTCCTGATAGCGATCTTGAATTAACTCACTAAATTTCGCATACGTTTTGGAAGATTAATATTTTTACTTTGTTTCACAGACCGAACTTATTTAAACACCCACTAGAAACCTCAAAACACTGAATACTTACCTCATTCTAGGATGAGATTTATCAGAGTAGCCTATACACTACTATAGATCTAACCCACAACCCTTGGGTCTCTCAATGACCGCTAATTTTTTTTAAATAACTGATTCAGCAGTCAATGGTTTCCATGTCTAACTTTAATCAGTTCACAGTTTCTCATTCCCAAAGCAATTTTGTTGTGAATAACTTTAAAAAAAACACCAAAACTTGTGGATTATACATATCTATTCAGTTTGTGTAAGTAATCCTAAGTTTCTCATCAATTTCACATATAATTACATAGGATTGGAATATATATATATATATATTTATTTAAATGGTCAATTAATGGCCAATCAAAATCAACCTTTCAAATAACCAATTTATATGTTACTTTTAAAATGAGATTATTATATTACTTATTCTATTTTGAAAAGAAGAACTCACTATTGACTTTGCTTCCAATTTCCCTATTCTCATTTTTTTAATTAGCCATAAGAAAAAACTCACCAACTTATAAGAATAAAAGATTTTATTTAAATACAAATTCTGATTTGTATGAAAACAATTGTTATGCACCGAAAGCAAAATCATCAACAGCGGCATTCACTTCGTCGACTTCATCAACTCCATTACTACAAAGAAAACAATCGCCAATATTTGATAATTCACCAATTATCATAGATCATAATCATAAGTCTATAAGAGATTTGAAGTATACCACTGAGAATAGAAGAAAAGAGTATAGATCACCAGCAAATATACATCATCAATCTAGTGGAATTCATGATTTTATACATTTAAGTTTACCTGTATCTGAACCAATTTTTACATCAGATGAATCTTATTCATCATCTTCTCTACCGGTAACACCATTACCTACAACTATATGTACAACAGAGAGATATCGATCAAATTTGAATAATATTTTGCGAGCATCAAGTTTTGATAGTCGCTTTACAAATGAATTAAATGACAATAATAATATTCATTCTAATTATCCATTGAAAGCAAATTTATACAAACAAACTGAATTAAAATCGTTGTGTAAACATATGGCGAATTGTAATAATAATGATAATGAAAATTCCAATAAAAATCATTCAATAACATCAGTTATAAAACGCAGTTATTTGACTATTACACCGTCGATAGAGATTAGTTTAGTTAATGATGAACATATGAATAATGATGTTGATATTGATAGTAATAATAATAATAATTTCAATAGAATTAATAATAATCATGACGATGATGAACGCAACGGTTTTAAGAGACAACAAGATAAATCCATTTCAGAACTTCCACTATATCCTAAAACATCAAGAGATCGACTAAAATCAAATCGTTTGCTGACGTACAATAATCGATCCACTTCATTACATATCGATGTAAACAACACTGATGATAATAATGATATGTGCCAACAACGTTATTTGGATGATAATAATTCTACTAATCGCATACGAGCTCGAGCATTGTCCAGCCAACAATTACATACACACAATAATTTGGACGTTACACTAGAAACGAATACATACAATCTTGCTAATACCAGTAACTGTAGTTACAACAATAGTAGTAGTAGCAGACGTGGTAAATTAGTAAGACAATCACGTTCATTCCAGAATCCTGTTGATCCAATAAATAATAACAATGACAACATAGATTATTCATCAACTGCTGCTCTTTACAATAAAAATAAATCTAATCATGTGAATACATCAACCATTGGTAATGTTATGGATGAGTTTGATTATTTTTGTCATATAGCTAATGTTCCTAGAGATCAAGAGAAAAAACGATCTGCCATAAAAACATCACTACATCCTACATTATCCACTTCCAATATTCGAAGTCATTCAATGCGTGAAACCAGTTTAGAGAGACAAAAATGTATCATTGATTGTGGTGCCAACAATAGTGGAAGTATATCAGACACAAAAAGCATGAAATCGAGTAAAACAAGTTATTTAAAACCTCCTGGTAAAGGTCAACTTAGAAGAGCTAGTACCGAAGAAGATCCGTTAAATAAGTCATCATTATATAAACGTCCTGTGACAGCAACATTAAGCTATACTTCAATGACTAGTAGTTATTCAAATCTATGTTTAACTCCACCAAAATCTATACCATCTGTTCCTTATGCAATGGATGATATTAATAATCCAAGTAGTCCATTAGGTGTACCGTTATCATTGGATTCAGTGTTTGCTGACGAACCAGGACTAACATTTTATCAAGTACAAGTTTTAGGTGTATCCGGTGTTGGCAAAACTTCATTATGTCAACAGTTGGCAGCATTAGTACATGAAAATTCACCAAGTTGTAAGTAGATTTATTTTATAAAAATTTACTACTCACATAAATATTTATGCAGCATTATAATGCTCTTTAAAACTTATTCTATATATACCATTAACTACTTTTCTCACATTGTTAACCAGAAATAAATGGCAGAATATTTATTTATATTAAACTTTGGAAGTATAGTTTTCAGTTAACTTACCATGGCAAAAATAATGATTTGATATGTGTAAACAAAATTATGAACAGTCATTAACTTTTTCATGCTTTGAATGATGAACTCACATTGGTTAAACCAACATTGAAGTACAGGAAGGAATTAATAACTGTTTCATCCTAGTGTGCTACGCTTCACCAGTGGTCGCCCGTGAAACCACGCCATCTAGGATCAAGCTCAGGTCCCTCAGAAGTGTTTAATCTCTAGATACTAGAGCCGGCATCAAATGTAAAAATTTAACCAGTTTGCGATATCGGGTAGCCATCACTAGTTTCTAATCATCAACAAGGGCTTATTTCGAGCAAATACCGTTTGTTTTGTTTAGTTCATCTTTAAACAATGACTGTCTAAATATTATAGAACTATTACATTTTAAAAGAAGAAATTGATGATCAAAGTTCATAATTCATATCATTAACTGGTTTTAGTAAGACAATAATTGAAAGCCAAACACAGCTCGACAGCTGCCATGGATCAAGCCTTAAACCTTCAGACCAAGCAGTAACCACTACCTTTAGACTACTCAGCTGTAACCCAATGATTTACAATTTTACTTTGATTAACTCGAAACATTGGACAACAATTTTCCAGAATTGAGGATTCCTATACTACTAGCAGCCCCTACTGATTTTCGGTCGTTCTCTAACAAAGGCCATCTCATGATGTAAACCATAATACTTAACAATGTTTAGAATTTACCTGTAGTGCTAATATACGTCGAGGTAAATTACTGTAATAACTATGTTATTTATTTATTGACAGGCGGGATAAAATGTGAGCTACAAACAAAAACAATATCTGAAAAATTATTCATGATTTAAAGTAATATAAGAAACATAAACAATTTACGTTTATGGCTGTTATTCTTAACAATGTTTGCTGAATATTTTACTCATAAAATCATTTTATTTTATGATGTTAAGTAGAAATAGTAAACTTGAAGGTTAATTACACTTTTCAATTATTAAAGACGACGAAGGACTGGACTGCTATAGGGGTCTTCAGCAGTGCATGTTAACGAAACCATGAAAGTTTTAACTCTGGACCTTAAGACCTTTTAGCGAACGCTTAATCTCCAGAAGACTATGTTGGTATATAAGAGTTCACGTCACTAACTTTGGTTGATTAACAATATTGCGCTAACATCACCAACTGATATTAATGATATTCGTCTCATCTCCAACCGGGTTAGACTTTATTGCTGATTACTTCTTAAAATTTATGGAATGATTTTTGAAAGTTACTCACAAATAGGTACATGATAATCACCATTATATCACATTTTTGTTTAGAATTGAATAAATTAAATGTAAACGTTGAGCTCAAGTATATGTACTTAACAATTCTAAACTATCAGCGTTTCATCAGTCTACTTACTGTTCTTATTCAATGGTATACAATATATCGTTTTTTGAATAGGCAAATGGATAAGTAATTAACAATTTATGTTAAAATTAATAATTACTGATATGATACCATAGTTACAATCCCATGTTGGTAAATTTTACGGAATCCATGTTTTAAAAGTAGAAATCAACAGAAAAACAAAGTCACCATGGAGATATTTTGTTTAAACTGAGTAAATGACGATAAAGTGATGTAGTCATTAGATTAGTGAATAGCTGAGTGGTATTTAAACGACACAATGGTAGCTTACTATGTTATATATATATATATATATATATATATATATTGTTTATTTAATTTACCCTTTCTGACCTTATAGATTATTTATCCATTGATGTAAATTGTTCATATATACCATTTCAGTGTATTGACGCAAAATATTATCATTAAAATAAAATAAAAATCTTGTTAAGAGCAAGCCGAATCACTGAGTTAAGAAAAATCACATCCTATCTGTAAAATATGAAAAAAGTACATTAAAAACACTATTTGCGCATGTTCCTTGAATGTCCCTTACAAACTTTATCGTCCTTCAGTCCCCGTTGATATTTTGATTACCTTCTGTTTTCCTTCCATTCTTCTTCATTTTCTTCTTCTATCCGTATGAATTCTACCTTCGATTCCTGATACATACTACTTATATCTGTCTGTACTAATAGTTCACACCAAATTATTAGTGAGCAAAATCAATTAGACTAATGTGTGATATCTTAACATGATTGAAAAATCGTTTAATACAGAGCTATTTTGGGAAGTCCTGCTTAAATCCAATAATTATGATTTTTGGTTAATTCGCTAAACAAAATCTGACCACACTCTGTAGTGAAACATTAGTTATTTTCAGCTTCAGCTTCGGCTATAATTTTCTTTTCAATGTCTTACATACACAGAGCACTAATTAATTGTGAAACTATCCGTCTAAATTAATGCGGAAACTTTTATAAGGTTAAATACTGAATATGCTATCTGATATATTTAGATTAGCTAACTGAGCCATTACTCATAATAAGATTATGACGTTGTTATAAGCAGGTAAACAAAAACTCATCTTGAGTGTTATGTGGTTATGAACATAGTCTCTATATTATGTATATATTTAATAGAGTAAAAGCATAAAACTATTTGGAACTTACCATTACTGGGCGGCCTGCTTGAGCATCTGGGCTACCTGTTCCTGCCATCTAGATATTTCAACACGTTATCTATTTTTGTTTATTTTAATATATCATTATGTTTATTAATCGCATGATCTATTCTGCTGCGTTTCTGAAAAGTGTACAACCTTTCGTTGTCAAAGTTACAAAAAACTCAATAAGAGACAATGTGGTTGCTGGCAATATACAGCGAAAAGAATGCACATTATTCAGATGTTCATTTAGTGAACTGCTAACATCTAACTGGCGATCATTCGGTATTTATCGCCAGAACCGACCAAGAAGAAAGAAACGGAAACTTCTTGGAATACTTTACGCTGAGAATTCTATATTGTACCAAAAATATAATATTAAATAAAGCTGATGATAATAATAATAATAATAATAATAATAATAATAAGTAATAATCGTATTCCAAATATAACATTTAACTTACTTCCTAAATACGAGTCCAATTGCTTGGCTTTAAGTCATACTTCTTTGAACGAATGTTATGGACGGTAACTGCCCACTCAAACCATGTTAATTGGCGCAGGATAAACGTCATTAATCTAATGATCAAGAAATTTAATCATTAGAGCTTTTTTTTCTAATGCAAGTAAACTTGAAGTATTTGTCAGACAATAAAATAACTATCTAAAAATTCATAACCGTTACAGGTGGACTATATATAAATAATTTTATCGCCATACAATCGAAAATTCACTAAAGTAAGGAAATATTCACCATCGGTCTATTCTCAAAGTAAAACACTATGTCTATGAATGTGATACTATGTATATTGAACGATCGATACTGAAATGTTCAATCTTCCATTTCCTGTTGTTATAAACAATCCATTTAATGAATTTTACTAGTCACTAAAACATTTAATTAGATTAACTACTAAATTATTGAAGCTATTTAAAGAACGAATATCCTGATACATGAACATTATAACAGATTTAGCGAATGTTTTGTAAAATTAAATAAAACTTAAAGAAGAGGTTATTAAAGATTAACAGATGTTTCTAATGCTTACATTATATAAATTGGAGAAAGCATTTGGTAAAGTGATAAACCAACGAATTATTTATTGTTATATTCCATGTTTTAACAAACTACGAGTGAATGCTTTGATTCACTATTGGGCAGTATTACTACTTATGAGTATTGGATAAAAAGATTTGTCAAGAAATGATAAAAATCCTTAACATTATTATAATCGACTAAATAGTCTTCAAAATGATAAATTATACCTGTATAGTTAATCGATTGTACGACTTAAGCCATAACATAAAAATCTAATGATATTCACCAATAAGTTGTTGCCTACTTCTTACTACTAAATCACGTAAGTTGAAAAACAGCTGAAAACAAAACAGTAGGAACTGAATATCTGTTTCATTCTAACCTAGAACTCATCTGAACTGTCAACTCATGAACGTAATCAATTAGATTTATACTTTGACTAACTGTTAGTGTGCTAACTTTAAATTCATCAGTTTACAACAGTTAAAATTAAGAATAGATTTGAACCTATACAACTTAAAAATTATCATAAGGGGTTTTGTGGAGATTTTAGAAATTTTCACTGATTGAAATCATGAATCAATTGAAGCTAGACCACCATAGAAAATCTGGAAGTACTGGACGGCCGTCTCGTCCGAGTATGGGACTCCTCAGCAGTGCGCATCCACGATCCCGCACCCCGCGAGATTCGAACACAGGACCAATCAGTCCAGTGCTTCCACGTTTTCCATAGTGGTCTAGCTTCAATTGACTCATGATTTTAATCAGTGAAAATTTCTAAAATCTCCACAAAACCCCTTCTGATAATAATAATTATCTGCTCATTAGTGACTGACTTCAAGAGATACTCCTGGAGTTCTAGTGAGAAGCCGTTACCAGTGGAGTTCAATCAGGTCTGTTGTGGAATATTAGCTCACTGATGACAATGGCGTACGGCGGCGCAACTTCGTGGATTGTTTGAAGTTAGACATTAACACCGTTGGATGCCAGCTCAGTGGTCTAAATACAAACTAAGTCTAATATAAGAGAATCAGTATAGACTAAACAAAGCTAGGTGGTTATTGTCACGTTTCTTTTTAAGTAGTACTTCATTAGATTATAGATCGTCATCATATTATTTCACTTCTTCGCTTCGCAAAAGAAGAAACACTTTATATTCACAGATTGAAATCATGAGTCAGTTAAAGCTAGACCACCATTGAAAACCTGGAAGCACTAGACGGCCGTTTCGTCCAATTGCGGGACTCCTCAGCAGTGCGCATCCACGATCCCGCACCACGTGGGGCTCGAACCCAGGACCTACTGGCTTCGCGCGCGAGCACTTAACCATTAGACCACTGAGCCGGCATCCAACGGTGTTAATGTCTAACTTCAACCAATCCACGAAGTTGCGCCACCGTACACCATTGTCTCACAACATACCTGGTTGAACTCCACTGGTAACGGCTTCTCACTAGAACTTCGGGAGTTTTTCCTGAAGTCAGTCACTAGTGAGCAGTTGATTCATTTAGTTTATTCCATATTTATGCGAATCACATTTACTGCTAGTAAATGATGGTTTTTGTTTTTAGTAGTTCACTTGTGATGATGATAAAAGTCCCTTATTAAAATTGAAGATCTTATTTATTATATTGTTGGGTGTATGGTTTGAATAATTTACTTTTAGCATTAATTAAATGAAACAAATGCATTCACTGAGGTATAATTTTAGGTCTGAGTATACAATCCATCTTTCATGCAGTTATATTAAATAAAGCATAAGTCTGTGTTATCAACCGCCCCATTTTCAGTTAATATAATTTTAATTAAATCACACAAAATCAGTATTTCAGTAAATTATCAGTATGAACACCATCACATAGTCTTAGTTACATTCAGCTAGCAAATACTAAATAAGAGGAAATACAAGTTTCGAATACTACTGCCAAACATTATGAGACCATGATAAAAACTTGTGACCAAGTGGGAATGTCGAGACAATCCACTCAGCAGGTATATATCCCAACAGAGATTGATCATTTGCAATCCTCAACATCAACAAAAGGAGGATAAAAACCTGAAGAAATAATAATCAGTATGTGTTTTTATTACCTATTTGATGAACATACATTCACATGCAGAGTTTCTTCAAGTTTGTTACATATGGAAGGCATCTGCTAATTTGGAATAGATATTTTTAATAAATCCCGTTATATATGAAACGATATTAACCACTGACTATGAATAATTTGTTAGTAAGAAATTAAGTAATGCCAAATCAATGTGCCATACAGTGTTAGCATTAGCTTCAAGATGAAGGTAAATTACAATCACCACATTAAATATTATATAAACAATTAACCAAGTTTGAGAAATTTGTCCATAGTTCATTGTATACCTTTACTCCCATAGTATTATTTGATTATTTTTCACAATTTATATAGGTATCAAATAAGACCACTGTATTTCTGTCAAACTGAATTATGATAATTTGGATTTATTGTAAGTTTACATTGATTAATCACTAGCTAATGATTAATGTCATGTTGGTCGAACCCTTTAACACTAATCCAGTGGCATTCATTAGGATCAGATAAACATGACATCGTTTAATATTCAGTGATCAATCAGTGTAAATATTTTAGTTTTAAATGATGATCGGTTACGAACTAAATAGTTTAGTGGCATTGTCTCAGAATATATCACTGATTTATACTAATAAGAATATGACCGACCATGAGGTGTATCAACTTTTACAACGTAATGAATACACGTTTATAACAATATCCAGCTAGTATATAACCTTACATTCGATTACATTCAGTCATTTATTATCAAAAATCAATAGCATTCTCTTTTTTTAATTTTATCATATCCACATTAAAATTATATGGTTTCTTCGATTCCCTTTAACTATCATTTTTAATAAAACATCAATAAAAGTTACTAGTTGAAGTTTTGTTATCCCATCAAATTATTTATTCAACTTTCAATCAATCTCTTTCCCTTGAGGAGTTCTTCACTTGCGAAGAAGAATTTTCTAATTAAAAATTTCAACAACAGTTATCAGTGAACTTAAGTAAAAGGAATATTTGACAGTCCTACTGATATTAGTATCTTGCTAAATTTATTCAGATATATATAAGTTTATTATTATTAATAACTGCTTTATTCAATGTTAAATTTTCGGTACAATATGGAATTCTCAGCACAAAGTATTTCAACAAGTTTCCTTTTCTTGTTTTTTGATCGATCCTGACGATAAATACTGAGTGATCCCAAGTTAAATGTTATCAGTTCTGAAATCGGTATCTGAATAATGTTCATCCTTTTCAATGTATATTGTCAGCCACCACAATATCTTTGATTGTACTTTTTGTAACTTGTATAGCGAAAGATCGTAAAGTTTTCATAGACGCACAAAAAAAGAAACAAATAATTTGTTGAAATATCCATATGGCAGGAACATGTAGCCCAGATATTCAAGAAGGCCGCCAAAGATTTATAAAATATACTGCTCTTCACTACTTTGTATATGACTCTATAAATGGCTTTAGATATAATACTGTAGTTAATTGCATTATTTCTGACTGTTCATATAACCAAATAATCGAGCTTACCTGATGTAAATTATTCTTTTTTACTTTTAAGGTGATTGACAATATTTACAATTCATAAGGGGAATGGCAAAGGTGTTGTTTTTTTTCTGAGCCAGGTGATCTAAACATCAGTATAAGCTGTTAACCCTTTATTTGGAAAATTTCATGAACTTTCTTTTAAATTGATTACTGATAATGAAGTTGTTCAAAGACTATGGATGACTTCATCTGGTTCGCAGAAGATTACATCTTCAAAGTCTTTTTACCCTATTAATATCGTCCATCTCAACTATTACGCAATTTAAACGTAATTATGATTAGACTAATGTTTAAAGATAGTTCTTTAATGGGAAAATTTAAAATGTAGTCTAAAACTATCGTAATGGTAAATATTTAAACATTGGGAGGGATTATGAAAGTATCCTAGCTTTATGATTTTTTGGAGAAATTATTAATAATCGATGAAAATATTGATCGATATGATATGTATATGGGTTATCATTCTTAAATTAAGCATTGAGTGTTACTTATCAACGTGAATGGCAACTTAAAATCATTAGGAGATTCTAGGATGATAATTGTTTATTGTTTAAAGGTTGGTGTAGATAACACCTTTCAATTTAAAGATAAGTTCATTACACCTTGTGAAGGCAGTTCACATGATTACTACTGACTGAGTAAAAGTTTGTGATAAGGTAACACCTGAATCAACAAACTCGAGTGAAGTTCGTTAGGGTCGCACTCTAGCCCTCTTTTTATTTGATTTCCTCAAAGATGAACATACTTTCTTCGTCCTACTTTCCAGAGATCTACCCCCTTACTAAAAATTAAAATCCCCAAATGGGATAGTCTTATTCAGTGAAAATAATGTCAGAAATTATAGTCTCCTGAAAGTCTTGAGTAGAAATGTTGGCATGTTTTGGCGTTTACCTCCCTCCAAATCCCAAATGTTGCTTAATCAACACCAAGATCAATCAACAGAGACTGATAAATTGCAGTTCCTAACACCTACAATGGGAAAATAGGAAACCTTAAAATCTAAAAAACGCTGATATTCAGATATTTTCGTCAAAGTTTCTTCATTATTCCTCCTAATACATTTAATGTTATGCAACCTATACGTATTATACTATTATTGCTTGGCTTTTATAAACGATTCTAACTTACTAGTATAGAATCATGCGGTTGAGGATTGCTTATCAATTTTTGCTGTAATATTCAATAACTCAGATAAATAAGACGATAACGTAAACCAGATTATACATCAGACAGTATACGTAATAAACTCTGTTTAGCTTCATACAATTTTACCTAACTATTAGCTCTTCTATGAAAATAAATTGAATTTTAAATAAAACTAATAATAATTATTATATCCATTTCCACTTTTTATTCCATTGGAATAGGTGATTCTGATGAAATGGATAACAAATTAGATGTTTATTCAATAACTACTGCTCTATGGGGTTCAGTATATACAGTGAATTTTGTAGATACTTCAGCAGAGAACTGTGAAAAAAATCTTGTAAGCGTGTATTTATAAAATTAACTAATAACTGATTTTTCAACATTCTTCCACTTAAATATATTGTTTTAAGAATAAATTTTACTTTCAGAAGGGATTTTGTGGAGATTTTTAGAAATTTCATTAGTTGAAATCATTAGTCAATTGAAGCTAGACCACTATGGAAAACGTGGAAGCACTGGACTGATTGGTCCTGTGTTCGAATCTCGCGGGGTGCGGGATCGTGGATGCGCACTGCTGAGGAGTCCCATACTCGGACGAGACGGCCGTCCAGTACTTCCAGATTTTCTATGGTGGTCTAGCTTCAATTGATTCATGATTTCAACTATTGAAATTTTACCTTATTAAAATTATAAATGAAGAATGACAGTATTTCTAACTGTAAGTGGATTAGTTATATATTATAAACCCATGTTCACGCTATTTGAATTTTTTTCCAATATGGTCGGAATTCAAAGCTTATGAGGTGAACAAGGTTGGTGGTACACAGTTTAAATGAGCTTGACAACTTACTGATGAAATATTCTTCTTGAATTTTATTTTAATGATGTTGACTACAATAGAAATAAAAGCCTCATGATTAAGTTATCCAGGTTGATGAAATGAGCATCCACAATGTGTTTCTATACATAATCCTGTTTTATTATTCATATTCATGCGTTGAATACATCTCTTATATAAAATAGTTTGGAGCTATCATGAAATCATCATATTTAAAAAGATATTTATCGAGGTTTTTAATTTTCTGATCACTGAAATACAGACTAAAGGTTCTTTTCATTTAACAACTATTTTGAAAAAAAATATTTACTCCATGTAGACACAGTTGGTATTTGTTCTGTTATCAGTAAGTGAAGACTGAAGTTATAAACTTTGAATTGTTAACATAGTGGAAACCATATTCCCTCGGTCTAAAGCCATTGGTTTAGTTTTCTAGAAACACTTCAACGCAATTTAACTACTTTTGATACATTTATTTCTAATATTTTAAACAGAAGGATAAAAAACCAATTTATATATGAAATGGTGTTAGGCATGAAATGAAAGCTTATATAACGAGGGTAAAATTATTCAGGGAATTTCGCTTTCCGTAAGCCATGAAACTTTCACTATCTATTCAGATAACACTGTCAATATGAGATGGTTCAAAAACGACTTGATCTTCAAATCAAAGATAAAAATCACTTCAATTTCAAGCTATTTCTCACTTGTAGAGAGGTTCTTATCATTTAGGTTTTTAAGTACATCCCGAAAAACAAATAGAAGGTTCATAATTAACGTAACTATTTCAGAAGGAAGAGCGTAACCGAGATCTCCTTCCTAAGCTACAAATCTTCTCAGTCATCGGAAACGATGTATTTTGCATATTATGTGCAGAATTTATTTGTATAGAACAAAAAAGGCGTTCATATGCTTTTAATTTTCTTGACTGTATTTATGGACTTCATATCATTATTTTTTAAAAGTAAGATCACACAAGTCTGAAATCCAACAGTGCATTCTCATGTCGACTAAAATATATACGTAATTGTTGACACTCAAAGATATGCAAAATAACAGAGAATAACAATTTACTTGGATCTTCCAATTGATGTTTAGCACTGAAATTGATCAGTCTCTCATTGACATATGTGCATACTGTACGGATTGCCTCGATATTGCCTACGCCAGGACGAAACGGTCGTCCAGTGCTTCCAGGTTTTTTCATGGTTGTCTACCTTTAAATGACTCATAAACTCCACCATTAAATTACTAAAATCTCTACAAAACCCATTTCTAATAATTGTAAAATTGTCAAAAACTCCAGATGTCGTAGTATTCAGATTAACCAAGAACCATTGAAGACAACTATTTAATTTTAATCTGTCAACCTATTCGAAAAACGTCAATCGAAAATATGGTCAGCGGTCGATACTATAAAACATTTGACTTTAAGGTTAGGAGAAATTAAGATACTAGGGCGTATAAAAGTAACTATTAACAAATAAGGCTACCAAAACAAACCTATTTAACGATTGTGGAACAACTAGGAAGCTTACTTCTACTCAAAGTAAACTCTAATACTACTGTTTAGAACGATGATAAAACCCTTTCAATCAAGCCATCTACGTTGAATTATTCAACAACACAAGAAACATCCACTTGTGTTGTTAACATTTTCTTCCATTACTTCACTTTAGGTATTTTATAATAATGTAGCGAACAAGGCCACGAGTGGGAACAATCGAATGTATTTGTCACGAAACTACAAAGCATTTCAACAAAATCTGAGAACCATGTAGTAAATCGTTAATTTCCAAAATATTAATCCATCGTCTCAAAATTGACTGTTCCTTTTGTAAATATCAGTCCATCGTCTCAGATTCCATTGTTCACGCATTTTCATACGAATTGCGTTCCGTTCCCGTTCTTTCTTTATCGATCTTCTACTGAAATACATTCTATGCCTGACCACCGTGATATACTACTTATGTGGATATAAGTAACCTACACCACAGTATCACTTAACTTAATCAAGCTTTTATTATTGATTATTTTAATTAATTAATGTTAAAACACAATTGAAATTATCCAGAGAGAAAATATAGATTGATTCTTTAAATTGTTTTATTTAATATTTCTATCATTTATTCTTTAGAATGTTTACCATGTTTCTTTTTAACTCATTTAACAAACTGTATGCAATAACTAAAGTAGGTATCCCTTAATAGAATAAGAATAAAACCTGAGTTATTTATCATGTTTAATCAAATTGTTATTCACTCGTCAACAACCCAATTACGGTTATTTATTTTGATCATTTATTGCATATAAGAATTAAAGTCTTTCAGTACGGCATTGTTAAAAATATTTCATGAGAAATAAGTTCATTAAGAAGTTAAAGCTGACTAGATAGGAAAGATATGGTCGATTTTCCTTTAATCAATAAGGCATTACCGTAAAATCAAAGTAGATATGTTTAGATTCACTTACGTATTGGTTGCTTGAATATTCTCATGAGGTTTATCACTGCAATTGATCAGTCCATTATTGGCATATGTGCATACTGTGAGGATTGCCTCGATAATGTCTTAATTTACAAGCATTCTAACCAAACATAGATAGTGGTTAGCAGTGAAATGGAGGACACACGTTTCGTTCTATTTGAGACTCAGAAGTTGGATGTACCTACATCTCATAATGGATGTTCACTCTGGGATTCGAACTCAGTACCGTTCGCTTCAAACCCCATGGCGTTATCCACTCAGCTACTGAGTCCTGATAGCCACTTGTTTGTGCAATGGGGTGAAGTTAATATTCACTTATGTATTGGTTGCTTGAATCTTCCCATTGATGTTTAGCATTGCAATTGATCAGTCTATCATTGGCATATGTGCATTCTGTGCGTATTGCCTCGATATCACCTTAATTCACAAGCATGATAAGCTGAGATGATGGTGGCTAGTGGTAGAGTCAAAGATATGCATTTATGTTTATTTTACAGGATTTACTTTTAAAAATAATTGTCATTTAATAAAGCTAAAGTTCGGAGGATTTTTTATTTCGGAGAAATTTTCTGAAAGTGAACGAAATGGGACATTATGATTCTACTTCAATCGCTTTCAGATAAGATCAAACATTATAATTATTTGAAAACCGACAATATATTTAATGTATATTACCATACAATGAAACATTAAACTATTGAACATTAATTACATCCATTAGTAACTCCCATCAATAAAATCAAAGTATTCATATTTGCTCATTTTATAAGTTTGGTCATTAGATGTAACATTTTATTGAACAACTCACTGAATTAAATTGAGTTGTTTAATTAAATATATGGAATAAGCATCAGGGAAATTCTATACTTGCTGGTAATTACTGTTATTTGATAATTCGTAATTATTTAGTATGATCAGTAACGTATTCTTTGTTCATTTCTGCTGAAGTGTGAGTAGTAACATAAGTAACACTGATATTGTAGAGTGACTTTGTTCGTAAACTGTTTCTTTTTTATCTAAATAAATAAAAATATCTTTTTAAATGAGGACATTTCTTAAGATCCTATCCAAACCAGAAGGAGTGACAGTGAAGTTCAGAGTTGAGTTAGTAAATCTTTTGTCCTAATTTGGACGTAGTAGCAGTCGGTGTAAATAAATCTTATATCTTGAGGCAATGGTCTACTTATCAAAACACTGGCTTTGCATTTGACTATCTACATTTCCAACTTCAATTATTGTGTGACCGGTTAAATGGAGTCATTCCGTGGATAAACCAATCATCATCAATGAAATTAGATTATTTATGTTCTCTATCTTAAATCGTCTAAAGTTTGAAGTATGAAATATCAGATGTCAAGCCGGTACCAATCGAGTCATCTGGATTTACTGTGTCTTATCCATGGGAAGTTTATTCCTAACCGTTACCGACTAGTCCCACACTAAGACATAACAATTATCCAGTATCCCCTAAACTCAAATGATACCTTAAATTAATTGAATTATATGCTTTTAGTAAGAAAACTAAATGAAATTTACTTTACAAAAACTTTCTATCTCATTTTGTTTTTTGTTAGAATAGGAAATAAATCAAGGTAGGAAAATAAATTAATCAATAAAATAGAATTGATTTGTTTATCGTTGATGAAAATGATTATCATTCCTGATAACTTATCTTCTTGTAGAAAGAGAGAAAAAGTTGGCTTACTATTTAGTTCATTTTATGTTATTTATTATTATTTTAATCTTATTTGCATAAATATCTAAATGTTTCATTGTAATAATAAAGAGAGAATTAGAGTAGGTGTGAAAATCATGTTTTCACTTAATTAGGTCATTGAGTTAAAATTCTGGTTATATATTGAATAAGATACAATATATATAGATAGTTAAACAGATTATCAGTCAAATAGAATAATTAAAATGAAAAAGCAAAAAAAAAAGTTATTAGCTTATTTCATACATGAATGATAGTTGACACGAATGTTGATTATTCAAAACAAAACAAACAAAAAAAAGTGTCTTCAAATAAGTCAACAGAAAATTTTAGGAAGAAAAAAAAAGAAAAACTTGACATAAAATGACCTTAAATAACCTCATAGGAACTAGTAAACATTTACTCATTTTAAATATATATTTATATATACGAAGTTTTATTTTCAGTTATTTTAGTTATGCAGATGTTCGGTTGATTTTACACAGTAGAAATTAGTTTAGTTTACGGGCTAATTTTTAATTGGATATTACTATCAACATGAAAAATCATTGAAACTTTCAAATGAAACTAATCCTTTACAAATATTTAAACTAAATATTAATTGTATACACACGAATAACTAACTTCAAAATCAATTGTTGAACTATATGAAGAACTGTTTAAGATGTGGGCTAATGGAATTTGATTGAATAATCTAGTGGTAACGATTCCTGTATACCTCGATTTCGAAGCCTTGTCGAATATTGGGTATAAGCCTTTAAACATTTTCGTACTGGAAAAAAATACAGTTGTCTAGTACTCCTAATTTTTAGGGGGTCCTTGTTCAATCAATGGAGAAAACAAAAGTCGATGAAAATATTTTTTCAGTTATGGGTAAAATTCTAGAAATAAAGTAGATATATATATTAAGACTATAGTAACTAAAATGCTGTAATTGAAAATAATATTTAAGACGAACTGATTTCAACTAAATGACCGTCTTTAAACAGCTTTCTCAATCGAATTTTCCTCTTTCTATTAATTTGTAAACTATAATTAATATAAAGATGTTGGATCATCATGTTTATCAAAGAAAAGATTATACGGGTGCAAGTTATTAACTGAGGTTGAACATGTGAACCATTTGATCTTGATTTAATAAAAGTGAACTCATTATGAAACTTTTAAGTTTTTTTTATTGAATGTGATACGGGATTATAGTTACTCATCATTGAAAAGTTCCATACTTAGATGATATAGCTTTTCATTAACTAACATCTCACTCTGCATTTTTAAATTAATCAAATTTATTCATGGTGAATCTTTCACCAAATATGTTGTCGATTGTTACCCAGTCTTCTGTTATGTAACAGTCACGAAGGGTTTGAACGTTTGATGTGTAATAATGGGGCATTCTACAGAATTCATTTTATTGTACTTCTCGCAGTAATTTCACCATAGGTTTAGTTAATAATATATCTATAATATATCTAATGGTGACTACTTTCAATAAATGAGCTACACTATTGATAGCCCTTAGTTCACACAGAAATGAGTTTTTATTTACTACACAAGTATTGCATTAATCAATTCTAATGATCTTATTTATAGTCGGTTATCATCCCAGAATGTGTTATCTTTATATGCCTATTCAATTTTGTTCATTGTTTTATTCAATTGACGTTTGGAGTTGTGATTGACTGACTGACTGACCTTTTACGTATCAATGTTAAAGATCCTATTGATTAAAGGTTAGCCTTAATGATACTTTTATAAACATTTTTCTGATATCTATACAATTTCCTAATGAACAATGAATAAAATACCACTGAAAATAAAAACATGTATATACATATAACATTATCTGCAGCTGAATCTTACTACCCTTACATTACTATTAAACAGTAATTGAGTAAATTATATATTAGTATTTATATATAAAATTACAAATATTATTATTATTAGACAACAAAAATTGACTAGAATTCATCCTATCGTTCATATATTATCATTTAACATCTAATACATCTCGCCTAAATTATAAAAACATTGTTAGTATAAGGGATAATTACAATTTATGGGATATAAAATTGACTCTATTCTAAGTAACGATGAATATCAAATAACTTTAATGTAAATCATATACATCAGTTATTTATACCGTAATACAATTAAATATAGATGGGATATTAAAAAATACATATACCTATTAATAATATACATATATCTGGATTGAAGAGTATCAGTTGAAGAAAATGCAAATGACTGCATTATTCTTCAGTATTAAGCTGGATTCTCTAATATATCAAATCACTCAAAACAATGGTTACATTTAAACCAGTGTAATGTATTATGTTAAATAATAGAATTTGTCACTGTTGTAAATGCAAAATTTAATTTTGGCAACTGGTCAGTCGAATTCTGAACAACATACGAGTTGATACATTTTAAAAAGTGCTGATCAGTTATATATTTAAGCAAAGATGGATAATGGCTATCAGTGGAATCTTCATCGAATATACTTATAACCGGTTTTCCAAGTTGAACACTTTATTATGATGTAGAATAACAGCAGCATCTAAGATATTTCTTTTTGCATTTATGAGCAAACTGATATGTATCGATATGGTCTTCCAAGGCAGACCAACGTGGGAGTAGCAATAGTTTTCTCATTGTTTCAGGAAGAGTTGAAGTTATTACTATGGGTCTAGGTTTTGCGTCTTTATAGCCTGCTATTTTTCTGGCGTTGGGATTATTTTTATCCTTTTCCACATCTTCAGCATGGGATTAATTGAGAATGATTGATTGAAGATGCTCGTGAACGGATAACACAGAAAGGCAGAACATTTTTTAGAAAGGAGGTTTGGGATTTCATCAGGTCCTAAACAGTGGGACAAATTAAGTGACTAGAAACATTTTTCGGCATCGGTTTCAGTGAAAATCGAAACATAACTGGCGTTCAAACTTGAGGATATAAGAAGCATGACATCAGATGACTGATTTACAAAACCTTATTTGAGTCACAAACATTCAGCTAGCTATTCTGCACTAATACGTCTACAACCTATAAGCACTTTAATTAGTTTACATATTCGTGAAGTGCTTTAACAAGATAGAGGTTTCTGAGCAAACACCAAGTTCAGTCGTCTAATCTCCTGCTTTATTAAACCATTTAGCTTCCGAACTTCAATGAAGTTTTTCTCTCTGTATATTTTTTCGTTTGCTCTACTTAACCGTTTTAGTTGTGAAGATGTAAGTCGATCAAACTTACAAAAGTGATTTCGATGCGACAAAAAATACCAAAACAGAATTTAAGATAACAAGTGACGATATCAACAGTGCTTTGCAACTAGTCATTTGTAAATAATCCCCAGTTTGTCGTACGGAAAATGTTCTTCAGATTCTGAATTTGTTTTCTTTTGCGTAATTCTTGTATTTATCTTTCTTCGTCTGATGTAAGAGTGTGCTCTTTCCAAGATTGTCTTATACTTTAAGTAGATCACGAATGGTCAGAACTAGAGAAGTGAGCACATTTACGGGCCATATGTATTCCTACATCATTGATGAAAATCAAGTGTAAATGGGCATTCGAACAAGTGGAAAAATACACTATATTTTGGTGACCTAGTGACGAAAGAAAGCCACAATCATATGAATTAAAGTCACCACACCAATTGAAAGTGAACCGTTAAGGCCAGTAACAGCAAAGTCGCTGAATTCATCAACAAAAACAGTTAATGCAGATGTTGTGCTGTCTCGAGATACATAGATGTTGGTAACATAAACATAATTGTTTTTCTTCAAGTTTTTTGGAAGGCATCTTAAATTTAAACAGTCAATAAATTTATTTGAAAACTTAAAACGCGCAAAATTATATCGGCACCAGTACACAGTTACAAATACAGTCACAACGCCTACACTTTATTATTATCTGGTCGATCCTGTCGATAAATATCGAAACCATGTAGCAGTGATACTAAACAATTGTTGTGTAAATCACTTAACCAGAATTATTGATTTGTGGTTACACCATAATTACGACATATGTCTGGACTTAGTGAGAAGTGAAGATAGTCCACTTTGCCAATTAGTGATCGGGAGTTAAAAGTTAGCAGTTTGGGAATCGATACATGATTAATTTTCACTCCCTTCAATGTATATCACCAGCCACTTTGATGATGTCTCTGATTATACTTTTTTGTAACTTGTACAGCGGATGGTTGTAAACGTTTCGTAGACGTGCCTGAATAGGTTATGCAATTAAGAGGCATAATGTTGTGTTGAAGCAAACAAAAAACAGACAACTTGTTGAAATATTTAGATGGCAGGAACAGGTAACCCAGATATTCAGATAGACCGACATTTTGTAAATCTCACTTTAATCCCGTGGTAATTCTGACACAGATCATTACTTAATAAGATTAATCAAGTTCATTCACCGAAATGTTGAAGCAACAAATGTTATAAAGAATGATTTATCTCTCTTAAGATAAGCTCTACAGGAATGCTAACACAATCTTGATTGATAACTCAATAACAAAGTTAACAAAAAATGATTATAGATCATTTTTAGTTCAATTCAAATATTACTAGTTTAACTATTTAATAGTCATAAATGATGAATAGTTTCTGCACTTAGCTTCACATACTTCAGACCACTTTAGGAAACTACTGAAGTCTTCAAACGGATGTTTAAAATTCATGATTTTAACGGTCAAATAACTAAATAATGTCCTATTATGGTTTTAGTGATTTTTGTTAAGTCTGCATCGCGAACTACTATTTGAACTCAACAAATATCACAAATCGAACCTTTGTGACTAATAGAGATTGGTAAGTTTAAGTAATTTCTTGGAAAAAGATGTAGAATTTTTAAAAATGGTTTAATTCATCTACAAAGCTTGGTCATTTCATTTTGTTTGACCATCTTTTTCATTATTTTTCTCACTTATTCCCTAAAGGAAGTTGAAATACGTGATTGTATTGATGCATTCCTTGTTGTTTATGCTATTGATGATCAAAATAGTTTTGAAGCAGCTAGATTAATCGTTAATGCATTGACACCATTGAATGATACAAGACAATGCCCAACGTTGTCATCATCAAAAGCGATGAATAGTCCGATGACAGCTGTACCTGGACTAATCTATCTTGTTGGTAATAAATCAGATTTAGTCAGAGGTAGACAAGTATCTATAGAAGGTAAGTAATTATCGATGTCCTTTACTATAAGCTATGGTATATCATTCTAATAATGGCATTATATTCATTTTTATATTGTTTGTTTGGATCTTCTCATTGATGTCTAGGACTGATCAATCTGTTATTATCATACGTACGTACTGTGCGTATTGCCTTGATGTTGCCTTAATTCACATGCACTATAAGCAAAGATGGTTAGTGGATAGCAGTGAAATCTCACTCTGGGACTCGAACCCAGTATCGTTCTTTGTTTAGGTACAAAAAAATGAATTAAAACGTCACCCTATTGCACAAACTAGTGGCTATCTGAACTTAGTAGCTAGACGGGTGACGCGATAACGTTTGAAGCAACCCGCGTCATGCTAGAGTCCCGGGGCTAACATCAACTCTGGTATGCTTGCACATCCGACTGACGAATCCCAACTAAAACGAAACATGCATACTGAATTCCACTCCTAGCCACCATCCATTTCTGCTTATAATAACATCATAGTTTTTTTAAATTCTAGATGATGAGTGTTGTCAAAATATTGAATTTCTTAATTATCTATTCAACTGTAACAAAATAAAAATCCATTATGTCTGCTTTGTTCATTTTACGAAAACACTTTCGTAATGTTGAGATAATTGAAATTCTTACTGAATATTTCTTTAAAAACATTTCAGATTCATAGTACATAAATATCGATTGCTTTGTTAAATCCCTATAATTGCTGAACAACTTTTTAACAATCATGCAGGATATAGTACAGTTATAGTCTTCTTTTCATAGAGCTATCAAATAAACTCGTATAATTTACTAGTGAGTTTTGTGAGTAGTTCAATATAAAGCAGCGGTTTTTTTAGGTTATACTGTAATAATGGAACGATCCCTTCTTTTTTCGTTTATGTATCGAAATATGCGGATATTAACAATGTCCTGGATGATTTACCGAATTGACATCGTTAAGTATAGTATATAATATGCATATCTTAATCATATTTGAGTAAGAGTATGAAGAAATCTATTGTTCCAATACATGATACTTTACTTGGGGTAACATGTCAAACAGGAATTATCAAAGAATAGGCCATGAATTATTTTATATTCAGGGATTCATGGCATACATTTTCACTACAAGGAAACATCTATTCATTTAACTTTCACTCTAACCAGTAAGCTATATTTTGATGGTCACCAAATTAAGATAAATTTGATGTACAGAGTAGTAGGCATCTTCAAATGCAACTTACTTGCTAACTTACGCATGCTACTCCTCATGGAGAAGCATAGGCTACACACCAGGATTCTCTATCAAACTCTGTTCTCAGCAATCCTTTCCAGTTGTTTCCAATTGTTATTCATTCTTTTGATGTCTTTTTTCAATCATCGACGCAATATGTTCAACTGCAAACATTCAGTCAAAAGTACTTGAAGAAAGTTTTTTTTATTTGCAAGTACAATCAGGCAATATTTGCAACTTTGATTAGGTACCTATACTTATGTTACATCAATAGAAAATAGTTTATTAGCATTTATGATTAAGTAATGATGACTTTTCAGTTGCAAAGTTTTATAGTTCAAATATGCAATTATTTCTTTTATTAATCTATAAGATATTATTTACTGATTCAAAAGAAAAAGCTATTACATGTTGAATCTTTTAAAATTCTAGTACTGTAATATTAATAAAAACTGAACTGAAATACTATAAAATTGGCTGCAGCCTGTTCCATCATTGATATAAGGATGGGAATACATGAGAAGTTTGTTTATTTAATGGTTGTATGAACACTAATTACTAGTTGAGAAACGAGTTCAATTTAAGTGTTGTGTAAACGAAAGTGACTTTTAACTATCATGTGTATCTTCGGCGCTGAATTACCGTTAGTCGGCTTCTCAAGTTATCAGTGGTACAACATTGCAGTAGAAGTGTCTCTACTGGGTTCTACGAGTTCACTATCTTACCGCATGTGTGTTTAATCCATAGCAACATTGTAAGTAAAGCTGCTTTCTGGAAAAATTTATTAGGTGCAGTGCTGGTGTTGTTCGTATTAATCCTTCCATCTTTAAACACCAGATTTAGTAACTTGAACTTACGCTTCAAATTAAGCCAAATTTCGCGGCACTAGAGCTGGGTGAAAAAGTAGCGGTGAACTAGTCATATTATGGTATAGTGTCATGAAATGGCAAATAGTTGGAGTAAATGAGTTTTCGTTTGTTCCTGGCAACTCCTTAGGAATGGTCTCAAAGATAATATAGCTCAGTAGGCTCAAGGATTACCAAAAATGACTCAAAACCATACTCAGTAAAAATTCCCTTGTAGCTTTCCATTACATTCCCCGTAAACATCAAAATAAATCTTCCATTAAGTAGAATTCATCACAATTGTATACACAGTGAAACTATATTCCTCAATGCATATTATTTTCCATATAATATTGTCACTATTTAATATTGAAGGTTTCTTGGCACTCTACTGTACCAACCACATTTTTCTATTATTAATAATACAATCACCAATGAATAAATAAGTCTTGTTTGTATAAAGTTAATTCGAAACAAGAGTTAATCACTTTAGAAGAAGTAGACTGAATTAGATCAATTACAACCCAGTAAATGTTTTATATTAACCAAAAAGATAATTAGGTATAAGCTGTTGAAAAAAAAACCTAAATTAGGTCTCATTTCTTATACAGAAATTTTTTTTTTATTTTTTTTTGTTTACGTTTAGTTGTGTTTTAGGATTAGCCAACTAATATACCATCTTGAATGTTGATCAGAATTCATAAAGAATATCTTTCATATATATAAAGTATATATATAAAGTATATATAAAGTATAAATAATGATTAAAATATAATAAATAACCAAATCAATAATTCAAGTGCTTTATGGAAATTGCTTAATGTTTCTAATCTACTTTCAAATCTCACAGCAAGTACTTAACCTTTGAACTAATGAGTTGATATCTGATGGTCTACATGAGTAACTTTAATCAATTAGCGATACTGAACAACCATCGTTAAAAACCATTGGTGGGTAACTACTACACACTAGAAATGGTCATGAGGTTTATAAGCAAAGGTGGATAACGGCTAACAGTGGAATCCAGAACGCGTTTTGCGTGCTATTTGGGACTCGTTAGCTGGATGTATTTGTATCCCAGGGTTGATGTTCACTCCGGGACTCGAACTCAGTACCGCTCGCTTCAAATGCCGTTGCGTTATTCACTTAGCTATTCATCTTTGCTTATAAAGCTTGTGACCTAAGACAATATCGAGGCAATCCAAACAGGATGTAATATGCCAACAAGAGACTGATCAACTGCAGTGCTAAACATCAGTCGGAAGATACAACCAGACAACACCGAGTGAATTTACATCAGTCATGGTTTCTCTTTAGAACCCAAAGAATTAACTATTGAAATTAGTCGCTAATGAGAATATGACAAATGCAGATGTAAATAGATTGTGAAGATTGTGGAATTTGTATAGTTCATATCACATCTTCATGAAGAAATAACTGTCCAGTGATTCTTGGTTTTCAATAGTTGACTAAGTAATGTTCATCAGTATCATAACTTATAAACAATCAAATTTTTATTTACATGATTTATTTGTTAACCAATAAAGCATTATGATTTTTAATGACCATCAACGTGAAATACTAAATTAATGATGACAGTTATCGATTTCCAACTATTTAACTGTAACTAGAAATCACTAGCGCTTATGTAAATTATCTACTTTAAACATGAGTTCATAAATCTGTGACCGTTTACCGTCAAGTAATATTACATTATATAACCCGTAAATCACAATGTAACTTATCACAATTTTGATATTCTCCCGACTTCACTTGGTACTAGAATATGAACACGTCAATATCGTATTTTTGTTTCGATATGGGCATTTTTAAACGTCTTACAAATACCAACTATATGAGACTGATATCAGGACGTTTTTGAGGGTATTATAGTCATTTCAATGGTTGAGATCATGAGTCACTTGAAGGTAGACCACCATGGGTCTATTGTGAGATAGTTACTCACTGAAGACATTAGTGGATGTGTCGCCCAATTTCGTAGATTGGTTGAAGTTAGACATTAACACCGTTAGATGCCGGCTCAGTGGTCTAATGATTAAGAGCTCACGCTCGAAACTGATGGGTCCTAGGTTCCAATCCCGCGAGGCAATGTCGCGGATGCGCACTGCTGAGGAGTCCCACAATTGGACGAAACGGCCGTCCAGTGCTTCCAGGTTATATGAGATCGGTTTTCAAGTGTCTATTAAATTTTATGTTCATTATGTAGTGTATTCTAGGATGATTTGTACTTTATGAAAAATCTAGATTATTTAGTTTAGCTTGTTAGTTCACAAATCTCTGTCATCTTATAAGTTATTTGAAGTTCTTTTGGTATAATTATTTATTGTTTACTGAATCATGGTAATATGAACTAGACAACTTTTTAAGACTTGACAATAATATTGTTGTGAACGAGAATACAAGTGGAGACAATCAACTGTGTTTAAATATAAAATTACATCATATCTTCATAAAATATGTTAACCATACATTGAATACTTCATTTGTAAACTTCCATCATTTATCCTTCATATTGAATATAATTCTTCCAGTTCCTAATTCCTTTCTATTTTTTTTCCTTCTATTCTACATAATTTGATCTTCTTAACCTTCTATTGCCAGATATTCTATTGTCGACTACATGTTACTCATGTCAGTTATCTTAAATTATCACAGAAAAATAAAAATCATCTATCACAATCAACAACAACTAAGTAGTAACCAATATGTTTAAATCAATTTCCATACTAAACCAGTGATTTTAATGGGTTTTTTTTTAATCATAGCAAATTTCTAAACCAAAAAAATAAAGAAAGAAAAAAGAGGCGAGAGAAAATATATAAACTGACATGAAAATCTATCGAAATTATTCAATTCAATTTTGATCATTTTTTCTTGTTGGTGTGTTTCTTTTATTGTTTCTTTTTTCTTG